TGGTTCACTGAAAGGATGGGCTAGACAACCCTGCCTGCGAACAACCCTCCTGGGGACTCGTTTGGGTGCCGGACTGAGGCAGAAGGGCCTGCCGGCCGGGGCCCATATTTTCGGTAGCTCTTCCGGGACTGCCAGGCTGGCAGCAGGGTCGGAGGCACAGGTACCGTGCACCGTATGGAGACCCAGCCCCCGGGGACTGCCCGAGCCGCAGGGAGCCCGGGCGGGCCGGCAGTGGGCGAACGGCAGGAGAAGCCCGCAGTCCCGGTTCACCGCCGGGTCCCCGGAGAGCGGGGACGCACGGCCGGGAAGCGGAGGGCGTTGGAGAGAAGCGGCGTCGGGTGACGTCGGTGAGCGTCGCTTTTCCTCCCGCCGAAGTCCTTCTCTCTGGCGGGCGTCCAAACGTTGGTTTCAATTGTTACTTGTGTTAAAAGAAAAGGAAGAAAAAAGGAGTCCGGCGCTGCCATGCTCTCTCCTCCAAACATACAGGCACACTTGCTGCAGCCTGGGAGGTCAAAATGCGTTGCCTATGCGTGTTTTAGCGGGCATGGATTTAGTGGCTCAAATCCTGAAAATGAATTGTTCTCTCTGCCTTGCTAAAGCAGTTGGGTCTCGTTACTCGGCACGGGGCCTGCCTGGCGCCCACCGCCATAATTCTTGGGGCGAGGGGATTTATTACTGCCGTTGCACATCACAACAGCAGTTGGGATCAGGTCCTGGGTGCCAGGGCTGTGCCTCCAGTGAGAGCAGAGCTCCTAGAGAGCTCGGGGACGATTAGTCTTAGTATCAAAGCATCTTCTCAGGTGGAAAATACGCATCTTCTGGACACGTGCTGGTAAGAGGAAGGTGAGGTTGATGAGTGCTACCGGTGTCCTTAGGGCACCAGTGCTCTCAGGATGGCTGCTCCGGAATGGCTGTTTGTTCTCATGCCTTTTGTGCGTGAGAGCACCACGAGGAGAACTGAAAGTGGCCCTGATTTTAATCATACATCATTGCCCCTGTCTGCTAGGTCCATAAACTTCGCCTGCAGGCTGAAATAGCATTGACTCATCCTGAACTCTCTTCTGGTGGCTGATTACTGAAGTGGAATCTGTCTGATCGACTTAATAAGAATTTACCACTGCACTAAATGACAAAAATTTGTTTTTTGCATGGCTGGGCTTTTGCAGTTGATGGCATTTTGAGCTCTCCCTCCTAGAGGCAAATAATCCACATAAATACTCTTATTCCTGACCTTATTAGTCAGATCCAGAGCCAACACCACTTTGAACTGTTGTCTAGAGAGCTGTTTTAGATATCTCTAAACATGTTGGGAAGTGAGAAAACTCTGACTTGTGCACCTTGCAATAACAACGTAGGGTTCCTGCAAAGAACCAACAGCCTGGAAGACAAGGGTCGGATTGTCAACTCCCTGAAGGAGAGGCAGTCCTCCAAGAGCCTGCTGGTGTGCGAGAACAGCGAGAAGGAATCCAGGTTCCGGCGCACTGAGACAGACTTCTCCAATTTGTATGCCAGAGGTAAATGCCCTTTACAGCTTCTGCTTGCTCCAGCTCGGACACATCCCTCAACAGTCTGCCCTCACCTCCCTTGGCAGTGCAGCCACATTCAGGATGCTCTGTGTGTGTGTGTGAGCCACACTGATGCATACAAACTTCCTGAAATGCTATTTTACATACTTTGGGCTGACCCCCTACAGCACAGCTCCCACCATTCCTCTGAAGTCACTCCAGATCCAGCCCCTGGGAGGAGAGTAATTTTGTAATTTGTTTCCTCCTCAGTAAAATAGCAATGAAACGGTCTGTGATTGGTGGTGAAAGGAAATCAGACCCTTTGCAGGGATGGGGGAGCATTGAGGGAGAAGGGCAGGTGTGGGTTTGGGGTGCTCTTGGCCCCCAGGAGGTGTGGCATTCACACATGCTTCACACAGCATTTATGGTGCAGGGCGTGCTCTTGGCTGGGGTGCTTCAGAGGTGCCCCCACTGTTCCCCTGGGCAACCTGGGCTCACCCTTCTCCACCAGGCAAGGGTTTCATTTGCCAGGGAGTGAACAGGGCAGCACGGGGCAGTGGCTTTCCCGTCCTGGGAGTGCTGCAGGCAGCTGGGGCTGGTTCATCTCCACCTCTCGCTCCCAAAGCAGGTGCTGACAGCTGGTTTGCCCCACAGATTTGCTGCCCGCCAAGAATGGTGAGGAGCAGACCATGCAGTTCCTGCTGGAGGTCGTGGACATTCTCCTCAACTATGTGCGGAAGACATTTGACAGATCCACCAAAGTCCTGGACTTCCACCACCCACACCAGCTCCTGGAGGGCATGGAGGGCTTCAACCTGGAGCTCTCGGACAACCCCGAGTCCCTGGAGCAGATCCTGGTGGACTGCCGGGACACACTGAAATACGGAGTAAGGACAGGTAGGTTCTTGCATGCTACTCTGGAGAGTCCCTCCTGGGGCTTTTCTCTGTCCCACAGTGAAGGGAGCGGGCTTGAGCCCATGGAGGTAAGCCCACACCCTCGACTCTGTGTTCCTGGAGGCTCATTGGCCTGTCTGCGGGCGCTGGAAGTGGCTCTGCTCAGAAACTTCAGTTCTTGATGCTCCATCCGTCCCCAGCCAGCAGGGCTCGGTGCTGTTTGCAGTGCCCAGAAACTAGTTTTTAAGACGTAATCTCTTTCACTTGATGAAATGCGAGCTGTCTGTATCTCCAGGGAGCAATATCATTAGGTAAATGAGGGCATAAATGACACTGAATTTGCAGTTTTTCTTCTTTATGTTCACCAGACATTTAATGAAAAAAGAGACTGAAATCCTAGGAATCGTCAATAAAGGAACCCTGTGGATTTCAGCCCATTACCCAGGAGCCCCGCTTATCCAGGTCCTTCTGAATCGGATAGAAATGCCCGTTTGTAATCACTTCTTTTACTGGGTGAGCTGTAGCCAGGCTCTATGGCAAAGTCTGGGCACTTTCAGGCTCTTTGGCCTGAAATGTTTTACTCCTGTATCAGCAGAAGGCTCAGCTGGCAGCAAGTCCTGACTGCTGTATGTACCCCAGCAGGTCAGAACTGGAGCAATAACGGAGCGGGGGCTGCGTCTCCCCTCCCCAGGGCTGCTGAGCTTTGCTCGACGAGCAGCCCTCTCCTGCCCAGTGAGGACAGGTTGCTGCTTTCTGTGCTGTTTGGTTACGCAGCTGTGAAAACCCAATGCAGTGCGTTCAGGGAACAAAATCTTGAGGCGGTTAGCTGTCTTTTCCCATTTACGTGGTGGTTTGATTTATTCAAGGCTGTCAGGGGAATATTGTGATTTTGTGCCCTTAATCAAAGGGGAACGTATTTCACTCCCAGACCCGTGGGTTGTTGAAGAGGTGGCCAGCAGCCAAGCCAGAGTCCCTGCTGCCCGCGTGCTTGCACCGTTATTCAGGTATTGATGCGCCAGGATGTCGAGCAATCTCTTCCCCTGGTCCCCACCTCCCCTGGAGCTTTTGCAAGAGCGGCAGGACCTGTTCCCGGGAGCTGAGATGCAGACACCAGCTCTGTACAAAGCAGTACCTGCTGCAGCTTTAAAGAAGAGCTGCTCGGGACACACGCCCTGGCTTCCCGGACCCCGAGGGCTCACCTTCTCTCTCCAGACGAAGCTCCCTTTAAAG